TGGGTTTTATGAAAAAAGGCCAGTAAAATAACGTCTTATTTAGAACGAGTATGTTAAAATATTTAACGTTAAAATAACGAGGAATTGTTCATGAAAATCGACTTCAAAGGGCATTTTTGTTAACATTTTCTAGATAAAAAAAAGTTGTGTGATCAGCATTTCACTTCGCTTAGGCATAAAAGGGTGTCTCTAGGGCTGAGTGGATCGCTCAAGTATGCTTTACAATGCACGTTAATGAAATATTCAATGAAGCACTTTAAATTTTGTTAGAAACGTCCTTTATTTAGTCTTTAATTATTATTTTATGACCGTCTGGTTCGAAGCGTTGCAAGTGCGACTGCTAAGCGCAAGGCGTCAGATTAGATCATGAGTCGGGAAATTACTTGATTCTCAATGACAAAGTGGAATCTAGAATAATTCCCTGTATTTTTTTTATAATTTTTTTTATTTGACAATGGTTAGCAAAAGACTAAGGGGCTGTCCACATAGTAAACACGTTAAACTCCAATGTTACATTAAAGTTGTGCGCTGCGTTAGGCGCTGCATGCGGTGGGACGCCCGTCTCACGCTGATCTATTTACGTGAAACAGCACATCACGCGGGCGCCCGCGCCGCGCTTTTAACGCAGCGCACGGCCTAATTTGTCATTTCAGAAGTCAAAGATAAACGTTACGCCTTACAATTGATAAGTTAACATCAAGTAAGAAAATACTTGAAAATAAAACTAATATGTCTTCCGATCCTCGAGGCATCAACTGACAAATAAAACAACGTTCGACTTTCAGAAAGTTTCACAAAACTCGTCTTGATGTCGAGAATTGGAATGCAAGTTTCATGAGGTAAGTATAAGATTAGGCAGTCTTTTCGGAGCATCAGGACTCCCGATATAATTTAGTTAAAACTTCTGTAAGAGCAATGCTTTGTCGAAGTAATTTAATAAATTAGTAGCTACTCTCTATTAATATTTGATTACCGCCACGAGTATCAGAGATCGAAAATCGTGAATAAAGGGCCCGTTTCAAAGTTCACGTTTTAATTTATTTTAAGTATCTTCCTTATTTAGTTGAAATCTTTGTGTTTTATAGACAGTCATGTGCTATTTTAATTCAACTTTTGATACGTCTACTTGTTCATTTCGATTTGAATTTAATTTTACAAAGCAGGTACGTCTACTTTCAACTTAATTCAAAAGAAAACTACCCAAACTCCTTTGGTTGTTAAAATAACCTTGTGGTCTTTTTGCTTTATACTAACAAATACCTGATTTAGCATTTCGTTTATTGTTTGACTATGTGGACGCAATTTATACATAGTTTAGATGTTGACAAGGGCTCAAAGCGCCAGTGAGAGAATTTTAATGGCGTGAATATTATATTGGTGCGACTACAGTCCTATGATGAAGCCTCAGAATTTACCTTTGCCCTTTTGTAAAATACGATATAAAATATGAAACGCTGAGCTGTAATAATATGTCTACTAATCCATTTTTTAAACTAACTTATATGATTTCCAAACAAATAAATATTTTAGAGAGATACGACTGAAATAGTAGCATGTTAGCCATGACAGTTTTATAATAAAAATAATCTAAGATTCATGGACCATAAAACAAGGAGAAGCAATTACGTTAAAGCGTTTCATATTTGAGTGAAACATTGTGGAAGAAGATTCTGTACAAACGAAGGTAAATATTATAATCCATTTTAATCCCGACATTAAAACAAACACTTGAAAAACAACTGAGATCCATAATCCACTCTAACTGTCATTGCTATAATAATGTTCACGACAATTACTTTAGTAACAAAATAACAGTAAGATGAAATAAGTAATTAGTTTCGTCACCCCGAGCATAAACAATGAACTGGTTTGAAGGTAGGCAGCAGAGGCGGCTCAATATCAGGCCGGTGCGTGTTATCGGCCGTCTAGGGTTGCACCTTGTGTCACTAGGGTTGGCCGTACGTCGTTTGCTAACGAGGTTGGCTCAAACAATCAGAAGTGAAGCAGAAATTGATGGGGTGTTCCAAACGGCGTGCACTGACGTACCACCCGCCTTAATTAAAAGACTTCACTCAAGCGTAATTCGCAATATCGGATCGTCTGTCTCTGTGATGTTCTCAACTCTATGGATTTCGATAAGATGGATTACACAATTTCGGTGAGTGGAGTCCGCAATGTAAATAATTATTTCGCTGTACAACGACTTTATTGGGGATATTACAGCGCTCGACATCTCAATTATTTTCAAAATAAAATAAATACGGATTATTTTGATCTCGCACAAACAACATGGGACGGAAATGTACGGAGATCACATTTACATTTACAGCCTTATGAATTCTCACACCGAAAATATTGTAATGCTTCAACCAAATCGGGTATTAAGGGTGTTTGTAAGGATTCATCGTATATTCATGTTGGTGGGGGATTGAGTCTGTTTGTCACAATCAATTACAAACGGGCACACGATTAAGATTGATTGTTGATAAACGTTTTGAACTATAGTGAAGACGTATTCGTGTGTGAGAGGTAATTAAACATCGAATAGCTATTGGCGGGCAGACGTGCTTATGTGGCTCTGTCAAACGACAATAGGTCTCTCTCAGGGCGGACACGTCATTATTAATACCTTCATACAATTACATCACGTATACAATGTGTTGGGATATAGATAATTAGTTGGTTAAAAACTCGTGGCTTTAGTAGCCGAGCTGATCTTACGTTTGCAAACATAAAAATGGGATTATAAAATAGTTTGATACAGTACGTTTCATATGTACCTATACTTTTTTAAATTTTAAGCTTAGTTAATTAATATCTACCGGATACGGTCATCTCCTTCTACAGTCTTCAGCTGCTAAGTTTAGTTACATTGTCAAAATATTCTTAATTTATTTTTTACCATCGTATTATTTTAGAACCACAATAAACTCTTCAAAGACTTGATTAAATTCTATTTTATAAGTGAGGGAAGTTTTATTATTGCTACAAGCGATGGACTTGAATCGTTTAAGGAAATGTTATTCTGACTGCGTTAAAAAGTCGTAAAAATAAAAAAGGGGCTAGTAAAAAGGTTGTAAGTTTCTCTACGGGTTTACTTTGGCTCTATTCGTTACAGTACTGTTGCAGTGTAAAGATAAATGTGGATGTTCTGCCTCATTGGTTCAAGTATTAGGCGTTTACTGATCTTAGTTTTAAGTTACGTATACGGTATTTGCTTTTTAGAAGTTAGTTGCACTGTTCTTATTTTACCGAAGAGTATTTAAGTTTGAGAGTATTTTTATAAGTATTTTATGATTTGTTATCAAAATTTCTGGTATTTGAAATACCTATTACGGCTTGCGGTTTTTGTATCGAAGAGTTTAAAAAGATTAAAAATTGTTAGGTAATTAAAATTCGTTACAGTTCATACGTTACTAAGTATAATATTTAATCCAGAGAAGGATTATCTTCTTCAGTATGTCCTAATATCATGAAGCTGTATTCAAAGTTTAAAAAATTTTACAACTCTTCACTGTACAAGGATCTTAAAACCCTCAAACAAGATAAACGTTATGTCAAAGGACATAAAGATCATAAAATCTGTTACGAGCTATTCCACTTTGTGGCACAATGTGTTTTGCCCGACAAATGGAGATAAATGGTAGAAGTCACAAAAACACTGGCACTGCACTTTGACCTACTAGCTAATTGTCTAGAGTCCTAGGGAATAGCGTAACCTATATTAATTATTTGTGCGTTTAGAAGTTTTTTTTGGTGGTTAGATGCGAGTTTTAAGTTTATGGGGACAGTTTATAACATCATATAACATCACGCCTTTTATCCCCGAAGGGGTAGGCAGAGGTGCACATTATGATACTTAATGCCACTGTACAATGTAACACCCACTTTTCATTATTTATGTTCAGAGTTCCATGTAATAGGGGGTGAGCCTATTGAAATATACCGGACACATTTCCAAACTCCGTGCTACTACTGATATTTTTAAAAAACTCAGTAATACTTTGCCCGACCCGGGAATCGAACCCGAGACCCCTTGCCCGGCAGTCGCACTCGCGACCACTCGGCCAACGAGGCAGTCTTAGTTTGAATTCCGACAGAAAACTATAGAAGGCAAATTCTACATTAGCGTTACCAATGACTTCTATGGTGATTCTCATGTTTTCGGTGATTTTAACATAGTATTTGCTTATAAACACACTGATACATTTAACAAAGGAGTTTTTTACTGAAAACAGAACCAAACACCGTGATACTACAGTAAATTGTGATCAAAAAGCCCATGTGACAAACCTGAGACTTGTCCTCCCAGCTTCTTCTACGAAGGTTTCTTCATTACCAAAATAGATGTTGATATTTATCATAATAATTTTGTAAGTAAACAAACTAAACTGTGAGATAATTACATCTGTTCTCTGCTTACTGTACCGGTATGATCGGGTCTGAGTGGCACAATTGCCTACACACTGTTTGGTGCTTGTTCGAGGAAATTGACGTTAGGATTAGTCCACCTACAATATTGATTGTTCCTGTATTGTGGGCTACTGTATTGACAGCTTATGTACCGTGGCAAATTAATTTCGCACCGTCATTTAATTACATAATTATGTATACTGTTATGAGGTGTTCGTAATTATAAGCAGTAGTTCGAGGTAGTTCATTATGGGATTAAGTAGCGAGTCCGTAGAAATGTATTTTGTGTTTCGTCAGTCGCAAACATATTTTCTTATCTAAGATTACATTCTAAACGGGACTGTACTGCTGTTCTCATAGAGTCTGGAAGTTCGTATACTTGTCAATAGTTTTACATGGAGTCTCATAAAGTAATCATAAAGTATTTTGCCTTCGGAATGCAGTGCATCGAGCGTAATTCATTTAGTTAGTTTAAGTAATTTTACCTCAAGTAAATTCCAACCATCCAATAATAATTCAAAAAAATACATAAAGCAAAATATTATCCCTCCGCTACATCTCCAAAAAATCACAAAAGGTGTCCTTACCTCAACAGTAAATCCCGCTGTCCAATCTGTAACAAAAACAATGCATAACGTCAGTAACACCCCACGTGACCTAAAAGCTAATGGCGGCCAAAGATATAAGACAAGCAATATACTTATCATGTTGTAAAACTGAGAAGGTAACAGTTTATTGACCCTAAAGGAGTGTTATCGTTACATTTGCATAAGGCCACGCATACACACGACCTCATACTCTCACTAACCCTCCGTTTTTACGAGCAGTCTGTATTATCTAGGTAGGTATAGCTAACCTTTGACACTTTGATATTTTTCCATGTCCAAGACTACTGACCTGTTCGGTTGTTACGCTCGATCGAGTTTTAAGTTGGAGATTATAACTTAAAGAACTTGTTTTTTTATGTCTTAATTAATAGTACTATTAGTAATTTAGGAAGCATGAAAAGTTCCATAATAGTAATCTGATATGATATTTCTCCGCTGTTAAGTGCATATGACATAGGCACAGAACGAGTGATGAAATCACTGGCAAAGCGTAGTGGTTTAAATAGACAGAAAGTTTTCTCGTGAACAAACTTTTCACCCCTTATTTTGTTATTATGAAGGAAAACATTTCCACAGTCGTATTTTGTAGATTAGTCACCATTTATTCCATTCAAAATCAGAAGAATATAACAAAACCCAATGCCCCACTTACAGGGGTCTAATAATAAATACAAAACAAAGGACTCTTTAAAAGTTCAGTAACTTAATCAACGTGCCGAATTGTATTTGAGTTTTATTTTTAAGAAATTCTAAACGCGCTCCACAGAACAATAATCCCTGTTTGAATGCTAATTAATTTGAATTAATTTCACACTTTGAAAAAGGTATAATCGAATAGAGAATTGTGAATTACTTTCCGTTGTATTTTTATACTTCTAAGGGAACCTGCTATTTTATGAATTTTCGTCTAAGAATTTTATTATTTAACTTTTTCCCGACAGCTTTTTAGACTTGGGAGACTTGTTTAGTAGTTAAGTACCGTAAAAAATTCAGTTGATTGCATTCAGAAGTTGAATTTGTTCTTCTGGCGACGCGGCGGCACTCATTCCGGAAAGTTGGCCAACTAAGAAGTGAATTTGCGCAAACAGAATTTTGAGCAGCATGCTAATTTACAGGATATCGTATCCACATTAACAATACAAGTAAATTACGAAGAAAATATTACTGTTCGCTGCTTAAATTTCAAATTAAGTTGGTACAGGCTTTATGCTTTTTTGGGGAAATAAAATCGGGAGGAACATATTTTTGAATATCGAATCTGGGCTGTTATTAATTACTTGGTGGCTCCTCTACATTACGCTGGAGATAATTGCGTCATGAAATAGATCCGTAATTATGTTCGAGCGTCGGTAAAATTATGCTTGTTTACTTCTTATTGAAAATTAAGTAAAGTCATTATTTTTTCTACAGTATAAGATAAATGAGTAGAAGCTTTACAGGGTGGAAGTATGGATCCAAATGAAAAAGGGGAGAGGGAAGCCTATTTTTAATCTGTTTACCTTTAAGAATAATTATAAAATTGTTAACAGTTCAAAGTAAGACCATATTTTGTTTTCTTCAGTGATTTTTCCATTGATTGTTTAAGAACACAATCATAAGCATAAACATAACATCATCACGCCTTTTATCCCCGAAGGGGTAGGCAGAGGTGCACATTATGGCACTTAATGCCACTGTACAATG